GACATACCCCATCGTCACATCCTCGACATGAAATGCGACCGCTGCGCTTCGGCCAGCGCTCCCGAGAGGGCAAGGGTTTTCCCAGCGAGCGCGCTAGCCACCTGTCTCTTGACGCGACACGATGGCCAGGCTGAGGGAGTGACTCTAGCTCGCTGGCCGTGCGCTGGCCCGCTATCTGCCATATAAACTTGCCAGGCCTGCTGCGGACACCGACAGCAGTCGGACCCAACGCCGCCACAGTCGCTGGCCGTGGCGAAAAAGAACCGCTTCGGATCAAAGCGGCGCATGACCACCGGTAAAGACGCAGTCGAGCGCAGGTGGTCCACCATCTTATGGGCCCCCAGAAGATCCCTGACGCTGGGGGGATTAACTCTGGTGACTAGCATGAAGCCACCCCCGCAGCTTCGGCCCTGCACTCACGACCCACCCAGTTCAGTTTGCATACCAGGCTGCAAGACTCGGCCACTTCGGAGCCGATAAGAGGACTGCCATGGTCCCCGCGCCCCACCGGGACATCGGAACCTTCTGAAGATGCTCCAGGATCTACTTTTCTTGGTCCACGAAGATCTTGGGATTGGCGGAGCCCTGCCCGGCTCGACGGAGCCGGCACCCGATGTGCTCAACTCCTTTTTCGCCCAGTTCTCCATCTTTCCAAAATGAGAATGTTTACGAGACTTTGGCATCTGCTCGTGATCTTGGCTGGCGGAAATGCAACCGCCCAGTCGTCGACCTCCAACAGCTCATGAGAGACTAGGCGATCACCCCTCCGGAAGGCGAACCAACTCGGTTCGAGCTTGGTCCTAACGTATCCTTGCCCCTCAATAAACCTAGCCGAGGTCTCATGAAAAACGCCGGGGACGCATCGTCGAGCCCATAAACGGGAGCAGCGAGCTCGATGAGGGCACCTGCCGGGAGATTAAGCCCTTTACATGGTTCAACGAAAACTCTGCCCCTCGGCCTCTTGAGAGGGTCCGATTGACAAAAGGTCGCCCACGTGGACTCGGAGGTCATACATCCACGAGATGGCCAGAAAGAGCACCAATGACTCCATGAATGGTGCAGGTGCATAAACCTGGAGCTCGGAGGCGTCTTCGTCCTGATGACCCCTAACACACCAGCGGGATTTAGCCTTGGACCGATCTCCCACGCTGCCCTGGGGTTGCCAGCGGCGGACCATGCGGCTCGAAACCACGCGAACGGGGAAGAGAGCTCGGAGCTCCCCCCCTTCGGCCGGAGGATGCACTTTGACCGACTTCGTCTCGACAATACCCTTCCACTCGCGGGGGTCTGACGCGGCGAACTCTCGCCGCTCTTGGCCGCAAAGATCCTCGAGTCGAACCTCGCACCCCCGGTCGGCAAGGAGAAGGAGATATCGATATATATATATATATATATATATATAGAGAGAGAGAGAGAGGGAGAGAGAGAGAGAGAGAGAGAGAGAGAGAGAGAGAGAGAGAGAGAGAGAGAGACCTGCGAGGAGGGACCTTCCCCTTCTGCGATGATCTCCACGCTAGCGTCAGGTCCTCCAGTCTCCGCCCCACCCCTCATTTTCTACGACCCCGTCAAGATCCTCGAAAAACGCGCAGAGCTGGGCATCCTCGAGCCCGAGGAGCGCCCACAGTTCCTCGCACTGCAAGGCGAGGCCGCCAGGGGCATCGGCCCCCATCGGTTGGGCCTGACTGGCCGCCTCGGAAACAGCAGCTGGGGAACTCCAGCGGTTGCGGACGGGCTGTCTGCTTTCGACGCCCCCAACCTGCTCCTGAACTCGCCCCGAAGGCATCCCCAGACGAGTGGACCATTTACCAGCCCGACGCACGCCTACGCCCAGGATTTCATTCCGCAAGACAGTCCTGGCCATAAACCTCTGGCCCCTGGACGCCCCGTTCGACGACGGAGCGCCTGGGACTTGTCCAGCACTTGAGACAGAAGCGGGAGCAGACGCAGCAGACCATGACGCCTGGGCGGCAGCAGAGTCTGCAGCGGACGCCGGAAGCAGGCCAGGAGGATGGGGGAGATCGAGACCTTCTTCGGCCTGCCCAAAGCCCTCGATCCTGTCTTCGCTGTCCACTATCCGGTAGATGCGCGTTCTGTCGGCCTCATCCTCTTCGGAAGAAACTTGTCGAGACCGAACCACGGGCAACGGGCAGTCGTCGATCGTAGATGCGGCTGGCGCATTCCTGACTGCCAAGTCCAGAGACCTAAGAAGCCGCGCCCCCCACCTCCAGGATAGCCGGAAGACGGGGCGAGGGGGCCCCCAGAGGCCCACGCACGTTGCCCGTGGCCCCCTCGACCCGCGGCGGAGGGGCTGGACCGAGGCTAGTAATCAGAGACAGGTCCACCTCGACACTGCGGCCCGGCCCCCACGCCTCACGAGGGGGGGGGGCCCTCGGAGGTGACGTTGGCCCCGACCTCAGCGCGGCCCACTTGGGCTTCCCGGAGAAGACGTTAAACCCCGAATCCGACATAACTCGTAGAGCTTCCCTTAGCTAATTGCTGGAAGCCTAAGGGTAATTCCGGCGCGCTGGAGGGCTAGTTGGCAAAAAAATATCGACTGATATTTTGCTGATGTTTGCTCGGTTCAAATTTATTGTCTCGAAATTCAACAAGTCGTTAGAGCTCTAAAAACTTGTCTCATGATATTCGCTCTTATTTCCGCTCGCCGTCTTAATCTCCGCTCGATCGGGTACCTATTACTGCCAAAAAGCATCCAGGCGGGATCGGCTGGTCGGGTCATCTTGAGAGGTGCTGTCGGTTTTCTGTACTTAACTCGAGCTGTAGGATAGTTACAGAGCTGTTACGCACACCTAATCGATCCAGAATAATCAGACGCGTTCGTTTGACGCATCAAGAGGTCTAATCTCGGTCTGCTACTCGAGCTAGGTCCGCGAAACTATTCGTACTCTAATATTGTTCTGTGAGATAATGATGAGTTTCTTGACTTGACTCGAGACTCAGATGAGCTGAAGGTCTCTCTGGCACAGCAATCGGAATGCTTCGATCAGGCGTGCTAGTCTGAAGTATCTAGACGCCCGAACTCGGTATGTCATCAGCACTGGAGCCGAAAAAAACTAGTCGTACTCTCAAAAACTTGTTGATATGATGATGGTTTTCTTGACTTGATTCGAGCTGCAGATGAGCCACAGAGCTGTTCGGCTCAGCAATCGGAAGGCAATGATCAGACGCGATAGGTCTAAGTATCTAGACGCCTCAAATCAGTCTGCTATCATGACTGGAACTGAAACGCTATCCGCACTCTGCTATTTTTCGATATGGTGATGATTTTCTTGACTGAACTCGAGCTGCAGAGCAGCTACAGAGCTGTTCAGCACAGCAATCGGAAGAAAATCATCGGGCGCGCTACTAGACACCTGGACTCGGTCTGCTATCAGCGCAAAAGCCAACCAAATATTCATACTCTGCTACTTTTTGGGAGATGGAGCTGGTTTTCCTGACTTAACTCGAGCTGCAGATGAGCCCCAGAGTTCTTAGGCACAGCAATTGGAAGGAAATCATCAGGCGCGCTAGTTGAAAGTATATGGACGCCTGAAGGCAGTCTTCTATGAGCGCTCGGGCTGAAACACTATTCGTACTCTGCTAATGGTTTTGGTTTGCTTCACTTAACTCGCGCTGCAGATGAGCTACAGAGCTGTTGAGCACAGCAATTGGAAATGAACCATCAGAGGCTCTAGACGCCTGAAATCAGTATGCTATCAGCGCTCGGGCTGAAAAAACTATTCGTATTCTGCTAATTCTTTGGAGATGGCATTGGTTTTCATGATTGAACTCGAGCTGCAGATGAGCAGGGAAGCTCTACGAGTCCCCCGGCGGTAACCAAGGTTGACGGTTTACCGCCGGCGCCCAGTGACCTCGGCGCCCCGTGATTCCGGGGTCGCAGGGCATCTCCAGCGCCGATTTCTCATCGCCACCCACACGGCGTCGCCCGACTTAATCAGCACCAGACCCGGACCGACCCATTCGGTCGCGCTGGAGCGCGAATGTCTTCTTGCTGCTCTGGGACGGGGCACTTCTCCAAACGAAAACCCACTGGCCGGGGTGAACCCTGGAGCCCCAGTGAACGTTAGCCTTCGATGCCTCCACCAGCTTCCGCCTGCTCGTTGTACGAGACAGCCCCTGCCGCGCCAGGTCCCGAATAGCGCACTGCCGCGCATAACAGGCCGCGGCCGTGTCCTGGTCCCAAGCCGTTTGCACTAAGCCACCCTCCCCGACCTGTCGAATACCGTCGTCTGTTACGAGGTCGTTAGGGTGGCGAGGGCTAGCGCCGCGCACATGCTGGAACGGGCTGCACTCGCCGCGGCGCCGGCATCGGTTCTTCGCCGACACCACCTCGTGCAGGAGAGTCTCCAACTCCGCCCGAGTGGTGACTACTGTGCGCTCTCAGGCTCGGACCAGGATTTCCTTCACCCACCCCCGTGTCTACCAGCCCCACCGTTTCCCCGGGGACTCTCCGAGTCCACCACGCGGTGGAAAACGCCGAGATGATCAAGGCCTCGCTCGAAGTGGGCCTCGAACTCTGGCCCCCCATCGGAAAGCAACATTTCAGGAGGACCGAACGGACGCACCGAGGCCCTCATGAAGGCCTTCCTGGCCCCCTCCGACGCCCCGTCAAACACTTCCATGATCTGGAGGTCGGCCCCATGGCGGCCCGTGGCACACACAAGTCAAAACGGGAATGGACTCGTCTTCAAAAGAAAGGTAGAAATAATCCCCTGCTATAACCTTGGTAAAATGAAAAGCGCGGGGGACCGCCACCGCTCGACGCCCGGCCTGCTGGACCTGAGCCTGACAATCCGCACACCGACACACACCTCAACCTAACGATCTCCGGACGAGCGCGGGCTGCTCGAAGGACCCTCTGAAAAATCCCCTTCCTGGGGTGTCCTAAATTGACGCGCACCTTATGAATGAGACGCTTGATGGGAGCGGTGATCTCGACCTCGTGCTCCGCCCCAGGGGCGCCGGTGACCTCGCCCCCCTCCGCGCCCCCCTCGCCTTCCGCGCCCGTCCGTCGGAGCTCGGGCTTGCCCGGGGCCCTCGCCGAGACCCTCGGGATAGGCCTCTAGCTCGCCCAGCCCTGGAAACGACTGGCACCTCCCAACCATGTCCTCGAAAGTGAGGTGAAGGTGACTTTCCTGCCCCTCGATGCTGGCTAGGACGGACTCGGCAAACGCTTGACACAGCTTGGGAGGGGGAATCTGAGATTCCTTCATGATGTGTCCTCCCTCGAGCTGATGGTGAACATGACCACCTTTGCACCAGTGTCCTGAAAGCCAACGAAAGAGGGAAGGGTCGTTAGTCATCAGCCGCGTGGCCTACTTGGAAATGGCGCCTTCCTTAACACTCAGCCCGCACTCGCACTGATCGAACGCGACCTCCCGAACCCCCAGAAACCGCCGAATCACGTCCACAACGTGCGCCCTCCAAGAGCCGGCTACATTTGGATGTTCAAACGTCTGCCCCCTGGACCTGGAGAAGAGCCATGCGCATGCAGAAAAAACGACAACGCAGAGCCCGCCACTTCTCCCGAGCCTGCTCCTCGGGAGTCTCAGGGGAGCTCCGACGAAATAACTCCTGAATGGAACTGAACTCGGCACACGTAGGCTCGAGCAAAGCCATCCAAGGATTCTCCTTTTTCAACTTTCTCACTGGCCCGATCCTGGTCCTCCCTCCTGTGGAAGCCCCACCCGGCGGCGGGATCAAGACCCCCAACAGCGCGCACACCGGATACTCTAAGATTGGCGCCGCTCGTGGAGATGAAGACACCTCCAAGCAGGACCGAGACCTGAGCCTTGACTTGACCCTGCGGTCGCCGCGAAGGGCCTGAAGCTGTTTTCTCTCGCTCTTGGTCAGAAAAACTCCTCTGTCAGCGCTGCACGTGTCCCTGGGGATGGTTCCGGCCCAGTGGCCCTCAGTGAAAACGACCTTCCCTGGACCCCCGCCGGGCCTCGGAACGGCCCCGAGTTCCACGAGCGAACCCATCACTTGGCGACGACGAGCTCCTCTTGGCCTGACCGAGAACTGAAAACCGCTGCCTACAGACAGCTTCCTGACCCGCAGCTCCTGAGAAGAAGGTCCGCTCAGCGCCACTTGCCCTGGCAGTCGTAGGTCCTCCAGCCCGCGTTCTACCGACCCTTATCGCGGGCCGGGGGCCGCGCGGGAGCCGTCGGCTGGCCGCCGGCACACGGGTCGCCCAGGACCCTCGATTCCCTCTCCGCCGCCGCGCCCGCCGCTCGAAGACTCGCCTCCGAGCCCTTCGCCTTCCCCTTGCTCCGGTCGCAGGGCCTCTGCGGGGCTGCCACGATGAGCGGGCCCATCGGCGGAATCTCGCAGCTCGAAACCGTCTCCAGAGAGTCCTGGATAGGCCCCCCCTGCGCATCTAAGAGAAACTGAGGGTTCATCTGCTGCGTCGCGGCCACGCTCGGGCAGGTGGGGCAGCGGCCGAGCGACGGCGCTGCGCAGGGCACCGGTGCCCCCTCCGCCCTGGACACTTCCTTCTGCTCCTGGACGCCCCTTGCGATCGCTGGAGGAAGCTTGGTCGGGTCGAGCGGCGCCGCCCCGACGTGGGCCCACGTCGCTCCGGCTGGAATCGGGCCCGCGGCCATCCGCGACGGAGGCTGCGGGCTCGGCCCCGTCGTCGGCGCCGCCGGCGATGACGTAGCTGGCGCCGCTGGAGACTTCGGCTCATCCGTCAACGATGGACCTGCTTGCGCAGCTGCGCCCTGGTCTGCCCGAGGCGGCGATAGGCCGGCCTTGCCGCTCGCTGCGTCCTGGAGGCTTCGTGCCAGGCAACTCGCTGATTGAGCCTCGCCGCGAATCGTTGCCAGGGCCGTGATCTGTTCGCTCCCCGCGTGGTTGACCCTCGCCAGAGCCTCGCCCTGGGTCAGCTGGTTCATCGCGACCCCCTTCAGCACCTCCGTCATCCCGTCAAACCGCTGCTGGAACTTCGCCTGTACATCTCGCGCCATCTTGGCCTGCGCTGCCAGGTCGTGCTGGGCCAGAGACTCCACCTCCATCTCGTTGTTATCCTTCTCGACCTTGCGCTTCGCCGACACGGCGCGACGCTGGGCCGTCTTCACGTCTTTCATGAATGCCTCGCCCCTCTGGAGGTTCGCCACCGCTGACGCCGCCGAATCCGCCACCCTGGCGCAGCCGCTCGAGGCGTCGTCCTCGGAGCGGTTCGCACGCAGCAGCATCCCCGGATGGACTTGCAACGGCCCCCGATCCGTCCCCTGCGGAGGCTTTGGCACAGGAATGAAGGCCTGCCGGGTGCGCCCTGCTTCTTGCATAAACACGCATTTCCCCCCTTCAGAGCCCCCTTCGTCAGCCTCAGCCCCCGGTAGCTCACCCTCGTCGAGCACCTGGCGCAGCCGATCCAGCGCCCGCATGAGTTGGCTCCGGCGCTAACCAGAGTGGGCGGGCGCCATCAGGTGAAATAATCCCCCGGCAACCTGCGAAGCTTCTTCGGCGGGTTCGTTGGCCAGAAACGGCGCGCGCACCATGCCTCCGAACTCCTCCGCCCGACGCGTCGACCAGATCAGAAACCACGACGCGAGAGCTGCCCACCCGCTCTGGGACTTGTTCAGACCCTCCAGCACGTGGGAGCCCGTCGCCCCGTAGACCCAGGCTTGATCCTTCTCGTTCGTCAGCCGCTCCGCCACGGCGGTCGGACGCCCCTCCTCGGCCCGGCGCGGCGGCAACGCTCTGACTGTCCGCTGCGCACTTCCCAGAGTAGCCGTCGTCGAACTGTTCGGAGCTCAAGACGAACTTGCGCCCAAGCGCTGCAGGATGACGAAGAAGCCTCAGCGCCGTTCGCAGACGGCAGGGCCCCCGGCCCAGACGTGGATCCGGAAAACTTGCCCACCTGAAACGCACAGTGAGCCGTTGGGGGGCGGGCCAGCTCCGCGTCAACCCCTAGCTTCGAAAACTGCATGACACTCCCTGGGAGATCGACGACGCCTCCAAGCATCTCTTGCAACCGGATCGGCAGGAAAGGGGGCCCGTCTTCAGAAAGAACATCTAGCTCGATGGCTCCCATTCGGCCTTCAATGCCGAGTGGAACGAAGGCAGCGCCTGAAACCTGAACGCCTCCGCCTACGCCCCGAGCCCGAGAATTCTAAGGAGGCACCTTGGGAATCGCGAACTCCTTGGAGGCCCGGCGCCTCTCGATCTTCTCCAGAGCGGGCTGCCCCATTAGACCCTGTCCTGCGGCCGCGTCCACGACCATGGCTCCAAGACCTACTGACAACAGTACTACAGCGTAGGCTGGAGGTTGGAGCGAGGCGGAGCCTTCAGAGGCGCCGGCGCCGTAGCCGTCCAGCGCATTCACGCACATGAAGCTGAGGCCGGAGAAGTGAGAGCCGCCCTTGGGTGGCCGCGCTGCCCTCGGAGCGCTGCTGCCCGGCATGTTGGGGGGGCCCTTCGACCAGTGGCCACTCTCGTGGCATAACCGACACCAAGTACGCTTGATCAGTTCTGCCAAGGGTAGACGATTCCCCCGAGGACGGAAGGTGCAATTCGCTGCTCTGCGACCAGAACTGCGAGGCTTCTCGCGCCCATCGGTGCCACGAGCTCCAGAGCGGTCGAAGAACTTCCTGCCGACTTTCAAGCGCCTCTTGAGATCCTTGTTATCTTTCCACGTCTTGCGGCGCTCCTGGTTAATGGCCGCCAACGCTGCCGGGGCGTCATCCTCGCCCGCGTCCGCTGTCTCCAAGACTGCCCACACTGCCATCTCGCCTTCCGAATTCATCGAAGAGACGTCTGAGTAGTCAAGTAGAGACTCGTCGTCGCAACCTGCTTCCACCGGCCACGACATCGGAGGGGTCGGTGGAGGCGGGGCCGCGCCCTTGGGAGTGTAGGCGTGGCTATTTGGCTCCATCGTCACGAACGTCCTCCGCTTGCTCGACAGATGCTCGCGATGGCTGATGTCCATCTCCATGATGGCCGCGAGCGCAGCCTTGTAGGCGCGCTCTCCCCGCGTAGAGATCTTCGCCAGCTGGGCCAACTTGTCGTCCAGGCCGACGCCCTCCTCTAGGAACATGAGCTTCCAGTCGTCCGAGAGGGCCAGGCCCTGAGACGCCACCCGGTCGAACGCCGCGTCAATCCTGGCGCAATATTCCGCCCGGTTCTCGTTGTGGCGCCTGGAATAATCAAGCAGGCACTCTCGAGCGACTTTCCGGCGCTCGTCACCACGGCGTTCTCCTGACATCCGGTCGAGACGCTCCAGAATGACGTCAACTCCTCGCTCACTGCACAGCGTCTCGTCGTCTATGTCTTCGAGCTTGCGCTGTAGATCTGCATCCAGAGACTTGGACAACCAATCTGCTTGCTTCCAGCGGGCGGTGTCCGTAGTACGACGCCATCTCTGAATTTTGCGCCTCCACAGTCGGTAGTTGGTCCAGTTTTCCCACTTTTCGGGATCAGAATAGTCTTTGTCTCGAGGTTGGTCGTCCCAGGAATTGCGCTTGTCGATATAGGGCCCCCAACTGTTCCATCCTGATCGCCATCCTCGCTCTTCACTCTAACCCCGCTGCTGTGAGGCCGGACTCCAACTCGCAGAGGCCCCCCAGCTCATGGACTCTCGCCTGGCACTGGTGCTCCAGCCGGCGTCTGCCTGAGCCCAGGGATCTCCACCTGGCCTGCTCCAATCGTCGCCGCGTCTGTCGTCGCTGCCTCTCGGGTCCCACTCGGTCCCCGTCTGCTGCCAGCGACTGCCTGACCCGGCTTCCGACCCGGAGCCCTGGTGCGTCTGCGTGCCGCTGTCGTTGGCTGAAATATCAAGACCTCTACCCATGAGAAAATTCACTGCTGCTTTTTGAGCTGTGTTCAGCTCCCCCGACGCTGGAGGTGTCTCCGAATTACCATCTTTCCCCAGTGCTGCCGCCATCAGTCCGCGGAATTTGGAGTTTCACGCTCCGCTACCACTGTCGCCCGACAGGCGAGGATGAAGATGCTCGGCCTTTCTCACGTCGCCAGCGTGTCGCACACACACACACACACACAATTTCTCTGAACAGTCCAACACGTGAAAAGTGGAGAAGGATGGGGGGGAAGTAGATATGTGGGGAGATCTGGAGGGTTCGTGAGAGGGGGTAGGGGTACGACTCCTCCTTCTGGGCAGGCAACTCCCCCCTCGCATACACACTTAAGCTCAGAGAGTCTCGGAGTGGGGCAGAGGAACGTGACCAAACTGCACGCCTCGAGACTCGAATCTCACAGAGGGTAAAGCGCTCAAGCCAGCCTGCCCAAGGCGAGCCGGTGCGCGCATTCGGTTGTACCTTGCCGTTCGCCCGACCTCCGTCTGGCGCTCGAGGGAAAGATAGGGGAACGAAGAGTGGCATGAACATAAAACTGGGAGGTCCGCGCGGACCTCCGAGGTTTTATGTTTATGTCATCGCTCGCTTCCCTAGAGGGGACCCTCGGCCTCGGGCCCCCTGAGAGGATCGGAGCGGCTGGCTCACCCTGAGCCCGGGCCAGGGGGACCGTATCGGCGTCGCCCCTCCCCCCCCTCCCCGAGGCCAGCAGGAGCGGCCCGCGGCCCCCCGAATAGGTCGTGCTGGCAGGCTCGAGCACCTGGCGGCCTGGATAGAAGAAGGAAGCACTGCACACGAGCATGAGGGGGGCGTTTTTTACAACATCATTGGTGCATCTTGGGTTTACACTGGTCCTCCACCTCCACCTCTTCCTCCTCCTCCTCCTCCTCCTTCTCCTCCTTCTCATCATCCTCATCATCCTCATCATCCTCATCATCCTCATCATCATCCTCCTCCTCATCATCAGCATCATCATCATCGTCATCATCATCATCAGCAGTAGCAGCATCATCATCATCATCATCCTCATCATCATCACCACCACCACAACCATCATCATCATCATCATCATCACCATCATCAGCATCATCATCATCAGCATCATCCTCATCCTCATCCTCATCCTCATCTTCATCATCATCATCACCACCACCATCATCAAAATCATCCTACTCTTCCTACTCCTCCCCCTCCTTCTCCTCCTCCTCCTCCTCTTCCTCCTCCTTCTCCTTTCCACCTTCGTCTACCCCCCCCGTCCCCATCCCTCCCTCCTCGCCTCTTCCCTGCCGGCTCGCCTCCCCCCCCCACCCCTCCCCCTCCCCTTCCCACACTACCCTCTCCCCCCTCCCCCCCTCCCATCCCCACCCCAACCCACGACCCCCGTGCCCCTCTCCCACCCGCCCCCCCTCGGCCGAAGAGGCCTGCACGGAGAAGTGCCTGACGTAGGTCGTGCCCTCCACGTCGTCCTCCAGCTCGCCTGCGCCCCCCGCCCCGGCCGCGCGAGGGGGCGGCCGCGTGGACCCCGCCGTCGGTTTCCCGTGGCCCGAGGCCCGCGGACCTCCTTCCAAGAGGTCGGCCTCGGAGCTGGGAGGCGTGCTCCGCTAAAGACATGGTGGGAGGCAGAAGGGCATGCAGCGCACTGGAGAGCATTACCAACACACCTTCAGCCTCAAAACAAACTCTGCAGGTCTCGATGTCTGAACACTGACGCTCTGGGTCTAGGGTTTGGATAAATCGACTGGAATATGCAGGAAAACAGCGGCAGGATCACGCTGCTGAAAAGATGAAACCAAGGAAGGGAGGAGAGACGAAACTACAAACCGACTGAGATCTCAGCAGTCTACCCTGGAATCCGGATGTTCCTGTTACGCACTACGCAAGTAAGCTCGGACTCCGATGTGGGAGCTGCTCTTTCTGAACACGTCTCATGGGTGCAGTACAATGCGTCCCCCTTGGAGGCGCAAGACCGACCCGAGCATACAGCGCAAGCACCTTATCGCATGTCGTTACCACGCAGGCGTTGCCGAGGGAGGGCAGCGCGGCCCGGCCCTCGCTGCCAGCCTCCTCGCCGACCGCCCCGGATGGCTCGGACGCCCCTGGCGGCTCCCGCGCCGCCTCCGGGCACTCCTGCCGCTCCGGGCGAGCCGACCTCCCGCTCGGCTCCGACGAGGCTCGGGGGAGCGGCGAGCGTCGCACCGAAGGGGCCACGGCGACACGAGTGTTGGCCCCTGTGTTTTCAAACCTTGGGGAACAATCACTGGCATAAACACAAAAGTTCTCGAATCGGCGCTGGAGCCCCCTGGCGGCGCCCCTCGCGCCGCCCACGGCGCGCTCCGTGCGCCGGGGGGGGGGTCCAGCGCCAATCCCAGAAATCAGCACGGACCTCCGAAAGTTTATGTTTATGCTGTCATGCGTTTCCCGAAAATCAGACCGACTGGTCACGCCCTGCACCTCCACGTCGCCGAGGTCGTCCGTCTCCCGAGGCACGCCCGCCGGTGGATCTCTCTCGTCGCGGGCCCGCGCGGCGGTCGGCGCCCCCGCCAACACGCGGACGCGACCCCCTTCTCGAATGGTCGCATGGACCCTCGCCGCTGCAGGCGACCCCCCCGGCGAGGCGCCCCCGGGCTCTCCCGCCCGCGCGCGGGCGCGGCCCCCGCCCCGGAGGGTCGCGCGGAGCCCCGCCGCGGAGGCAAGCAACACGTAAGGCGTCACAACTTGCAAGCCCTAGCCACAAACCCCCCAGGCCCCCTTCCGCGCGGCAGCCGCTGTCAGAGCGCAGCGACGCCCCAAGGCGCCACCGTCGAGATCCGAGAGCGCATCGACCCATTTTCGCCGCGTCGGGGGTCAGTCCACGAAGGCCGCGACGGCGCTCCCCCTATCGTAGTAAATGACGGAAAAGGAGTTGCCTCGCGCGGGCGCAGGGCGAGGCGGCGCAGCGTCGACCGCCCCGGACACAGTGACGCTATCCGAACTTTGACCACTCCCGTCGACGAGGTCCCATTTCCCCGGTGGAACCCTACAACATGTCATGCGCCTGCGGCGAGTAAGCGTCAGTTCCCGCCCACCCCGCATCCCCTCAATATTCTAGATTGATTACGGTGCAAGATCTTACTCCGCACGTCTCCTCACGTGGATTCACTTAATCCGCGTTCCGTTGAACTCACTTCGCTCGGTCTTTCAGCAGAAGAGAACCTATTCCGCGCCCCCTGATACTCACCCCGCCCGTCTTTTAGGAGGCTGGGCGACCCCGGATCTTCAAAGACGCTCGCCATCTGCGCAGCCTCGCTCGTGGACGCGCGGGCCGCGGGTCCGCGCGGGCCATTCGGAAGAATGGTCAAAAACTTGGATAAACGATGCGGCGGCGCGCGACCGCCCCCCAGCCGCTCGCCCGCGGCGGCTAGGTGCCGCTGGTCCGGCGGAATGCCCTCCATGCCCTCGCGACGGCGCAGCGCGATTTTTTTTTTTAAACTTTCCGAAGACACCCGAATCACGAGCACGGCAGATCACCACAGCAGGACTGCGCCACCACGTGCACATGAGGAATGTCAGGCTATCAGGCACACCCGCACCTAGAGGAAGGAGCAAGAAGAAGGCAAACGGAGGAGAAACGGACGCAGACAGAAAGACGAGGGCAACGTGGCCACCGCAGTCCCGCCAGCCCACCGTCGGACGCTTTGAACCCCGGCGCCGGACCTCGCGCCGGCGCAGCGCGAGATGCGGAGTCGCCCCATTCTAGGCATCGCGGCCCAGCGGGCGCGGCCGCCCTCCAGCTGCTCACCCGCGAAGGCGGGGCACTGCCAGTCTGGCTGGGCGCCCCCCATGCCTGGGACCGTCGCCTCGCCGCGCAGCGCCAGAGCCCGCTGCCGCGGATCGCCCGCCCCGCACCACGGACACTGATCCCGGCGTTGCAACTGTAGAGGCCTCCTCGATGGGGTCGGAGTAGATGGGGTCGGAGGATCGCGCCGCATCACCGATACACCGGCGATACATCGGCGATGCATCGGCGATGCATCGGCGATGCACCGGCGATGCACCGGCGATGCATCATCGACGTCGGTGATGCATCGGCGACGTCGACGTGAAGCAAATCGGGCTGCACATCGAGCCGCATCGGCGATGCATCAGCGATGCGGCGCGATCCTCCGACCCCGTCTACGCCGACCCCATCTAGGAGGCCTAGAAACTGATGACGCTGGCCCCCTGATTCCCTGGCAGTTGCCCGCCGGGCTGCGTCGGAGCCTGCCGCCGCGGCTCGCCTCCGCTGCATCGCAGGCGCCGGTCGCAGCGTTGCACCCGACGCCGCTGGCCACCAGCTTCTTCTCGCAACCGCCTCGCCGAGCAGCGCCAGATCCTGCTTCCACGGCTCGCCTGTCTCGCATCGCGGGCTCTGATCCCAGCGACGTAGCTAATAATGGTTTAACGCGGGCATCCAACTTCATCTCGCAGCCGCTCGCAGAGCAGCGCTGGAACCCGCTGCCACGGCTCGCTCGTCTCGCCTTGCTGGCGCTGACCCAACGTTGTAGCTGATGACGCTAGTCCCCAGCTTCTCCTGGCAACGGCTCGGTAAAAGCTCTGGGGCCTGCTTGCAGGGCACGCCCGTCTCGCACCGCAGGCGCTAGTTTCAGCCTTCTAGACGCTGACGCTGGCCCCCGGCTATCTCCTCATACACGCAGGTTCAAATCGACGAACAACTGCCTGCATTTCCGCCCTGGACACACAACAAATGAGAAAATGGGCGAACAACGCAGCAATCGGCAGAGCCGCTCAGGGGACCGCTGCCGCGCCAGAGCCTGCCACCCTGGATCGCCCGCCTCCCAGAGCAGACGCTGGTCCCATCGCCCTAGCTGGCGACGCTGGACTCTGGCTTTTTCTCGCGACAGCTCGCCGCGCAGCGCCAGCACCTGCGGCCGCGGCTCGCCCGCCTCGCATCGCGGGCGTTGATCCCAGCGTCGCGGCGCGAGGCTGGACTCCTGCCCCCTTCTCGCCGCAGCTGGCTGGGCAGCGTTGGAGCCGGCTGCCACTGCTCGCCCGCCTCGCATCGCAGGTGCTGGCCCAGCGTTGCAGCGGATGACGCTGGTCACCAGCGTCCTCTCGCAGCAGCTCGCTTGGCAGCTAGCTGAGCAACGTCGGGGGCGCGCCGCCGCGGCTTGTCCGTCTCGCGCGGCAGACGCAAGTCCCAGCGTCGCCGCCGACGCCGCCAGTCTCCAGCTTCCTCTCGCGGCAGCTCGCTGGGCAGCGCCGGAGCCTGCTACTGGGGCTCGCCTCACAAATCGAGGTCGCTGACCACGGCGTCGTCACTAATGACGCTGGTCTCCAGGCCCCTCACGCAGCAGCACGCGAAGCAGCGCCACGCGCCGCTGAAACGTTGCCCCAAACGCTGCAGCCCCCTACGAGGCGCTGGAGCCTGCCACCGCGGCCTGCCCGCCTCGCATCGCAGGCGCTGACCCCGGCGTCGTAACCCGGCGTCGTAACCCACGACGCTGGTCTCCAACTTCCTCACGCCGCAGGTCGCCGAGCAAAGAGAAAGCCTGCCGCCGCGGCTCGACCATCTCGGCGCAGGCGCTCATCTCAGCGTTTACGCGTCGACGCTGTTCTCCAGCTCCCTCTCGCAAGACTTCGCCGAATACCACTGGGGCCCGCTGCGACGGCCCACCCGTCTCGCATCGCAGGTTCTGATACCAGCGTTCCCAATGATGGAGCTGATCTCCAGCTGCCTCCCGCAGCCGCTCGCCGAGCTGCGCTGGAACCGGCAGCCGATAACGCTGGCGTTGACCCACTGTTGTAGCTGATGAGGCTAGTCTTCAGCTCCCTCACACAGCAAATCATTGAGCGGCGCCGGAACCTGCTGGCACGGCTCGCCGTCTTGCATTGCGATCGCTGGACCGAGCGCTGTGGCAGATGACACTCGACTCCAGCTTCCACTCGCAGCAGCTCGCCGCCAAGTCTCGCAGGTCTAGCCTTGCAGGCGCCGATCTTGCATTTTAGCTGATGACGCCGGCCTCCAACTCCCTCTCGCAGCATCTCGCCGGGCGGCGCAGACGCCTGATGCCACTGCTCGCCCGTCTCGCACCGCAGGCGCTGTCCCCAGCGTCGTACCTGATGACGATGTTCACCAGCTCCCCCTCGTGGCAGCCCGCTGCGCCGCTCGCTGAACAGCGTCGGAGCCTGCTGCCGCGGCTCGCAGGCGCTGAACCCAGCGTTGCCGCTGATGGCGACTGTCTCCAGCTTCCACTCGCAGCAGCTCGCTGACTAGGACTGGAGCCTGCCGTTGCGGTGCGCCCGTCTTGCCGCACTTGCGCTGATCGCAGCGTTGTAGCTGAGCACGCTGCCAGCGTGCGGCCGTTCTCCGGCTGCTCCCAGCGACGATCAAATGCTGGACGCAGCCCGCCGTCGCGCGGCGTCGAAGGCGCACGGCCCAAGGGCCAGCATCCGCGCCCAACCGTTTTTATGAAACGGCCGAGCGCCTGAGACCAAATGGCAACAGACGTCGGGGGGGTCAGCAGGGTACACTTACGTGCTAGTACACGGAGGCATGGCCACTGCGTATGTATTTTGTCTCCTCGATCTGTCTCTCTCTCTCTCTCTCTCCCTCTCTCTCTCTCTCTCTCTCGTTCGCTCTCTCTCTCTCTCTCTCTCTGTCTCTTTTTCTCTCTTTTTCTATATACATCTCTCTCCCTATACATGTATATATAGGTGTGTGTACGTACATCCATATCTATATATATACAATTGAATCGAAAACATGATTACATAAATGTATATACACAGGCACTTGTATATATATATATATATATATATATATATATATATGTCTATATATACTGTGTTGCGAGTATACCCATATCTACTTAGTTCCCTCTCTGTCTCTCTCCCTTTTTCTCTCTCTCTCTCTCTCTCACTCTCTCTCTCTCTCCCTATATGCACATGTACATGTATATGAGTGTGTGTATGAGTTTGTATTAAGAGCCGACGCATATTCCTATTCATACATGTGTATAACCAATTGTTATGTATACATACACATATATATACATTCATAATTGCATACATACATATATACATACATACATACATACATACATACATACATACATACATACATACATGCATGCATGCATGCATACATACATACATACATACATAGAGGCCTCCCAGATCAGTTCCAAGAGGGCCGCACGATGCAAAATTGATTGATGTTTTGTTGGTTGATGGGACATATTTGATTTCTCCCCTTTTCGGCTTCCCGACGCTCCAAGACGGCCCACGAGGCCCCCAAGATCGCCCTAAGACGGCCCGACAAACCTCCAAGAGGGCCCCCAGAAAGTCCCGACAGGGCCCCAGGAGACCCCAGGAGGTTCCCAAGAGGCCCCGAAGAGGCCCTAAGAGGTCCCCAAGAGGCCCTCAGGAAGCCCCAAGAGACCGCAGGAAGCCCGAAGAGGTCCCCTAGAGTCCCAAAAAGATCCTGCAAGGACCCGACAGAAGTTCGAAAACGCCCGAAAAGGCCCCAAAAACAACCCCAAAACGGGCCAGGAGCCCGAACATGACCCCAAGACAGCCCAACAGAGCCAATACGCGCCCCGAGACGGGCCCAAGCCATAACGGGACTGCACCATGTCCCACAGAGGCCCTCAGAAGGCTCCGGGAGGCTCCAATAAGTTCCACGTGACGTTTGCACTCTGAACGCCAGGCGTCCCAAGAGCGTGCGGCGGCGCAAAACGACTTCAGCGTCGAGCCCCGCTGCGACACGGTCCCGAGGCCCCCCAAGGCCCTCACACGGCTCCTTACATAGTCCCAAAGACACGGTCATTGGTAAGCCCAGGTCGCCGTTCCACATTCTGCCGTGCCCTCCATGACGTCTCCTACCCAAGTCTCTTGGCATTCGCGAGCCCTTCACTGCGTTCCTGGCCCCCCTCTGCGGCAACGACCGCGTACATGTATAGGGACATGCATATGTGTATACGTCGAACTGCCCAAGTACACATGATACACATGTATGCGCAAGCATGGATATATATATATATATATATATATATATATATATATATATATACATACATACATGATATGTGCGTATGTGTATGTAGTACAACACTATACTCTCTCACACACATGTATATATACTGTCCCGTGATGACAGTTTGCCCCATTTTGACGGGTCGGCAAAAAAAACATCCATCCAACGTCCGCAATGCGAGCACACGTCGCTAGTCGCCCTGTCAGGGACGTGGAGCCTGGAACAATGTTACGGGGGAGGTGCCTCGCTTTCGGGGCGGAAGTTGAACCTGAGGTTTGGATCCTTAGATTAAATGCTTATTCAAGCAAACGGGATGGCGGTTCGAAAACGGCAAACCGCGTGGAACATACTCACAAAATTGGCTCTCAAGACGGTTCGAACTCGGTTCGAAACAATAGAATATGGTTCGAAACAAAAGCAAAATTAGCGCTTCGCGTGGAACAACCCTCAAAATACGGCGTCGGACCCGGTTCGAAACAAAAGGAGGGCGGTTCGAAAACGGCAAACCGCGTGGGACATCCTCACAAAAATTGCTGTTCTGACGGATCCAACCCGGTTCGAAACAATGGGATGGCGGTTCGAAAACGGCAAACCGCGTGGGACATCCTCACACAAATTGCTGTTCTGACGGTTCACACTCGGTTCGAAACAATGGGATGGCGGTTCGAAAACAGCAAACCGCGTGGGACATCCTCACAAAAATATGTGTTCTGACAGTTCCACGTCGGTTCGAAACAATGGGATGGCGGTTCGAAAACGGCAAACCGCGTGGGACATCCTCACAAAAATGTTTGTTCTGACAGTTCGACGTCGGTTCGAAACACTAGAATCCATTTCCACACGGTTGGAAAACGAGCGTTTCGCTTGAGACGTCCTTGAAAATACGCTTGAAGCCCAACGGCCGCGACGACGACGACCACGACGACGACCACGACGATATTCGTTCTTACCTCACCTCCAGCCACGCTTGGCCGCGTCTCGGTGTGGCCGACCGCTCTCCCTTCAGCGGGGAGACGCCCCAGGGGCGGCGCTTCCCCCCTGCGGGAGGGGGACGTGTCGGGGGGAAACAACGCCACCCTTCCAGGGGGGACGTACGGCTGCTGTCAACCCCAAAACACGGACATTTAGGAGCCAAACCGCCCGTCGGGGCTACAATTTGCTTGTGTCGCTTGTTCGGCCCTGGTTCCCAATAGAAAACCAATTGTTTTTAATCAGTTCTCCGGCTTCCGTTTTTTGTCAAATCGTTTTTTGGGGCTTGACCCTAACTCCGAAGGCCCAATCCAGCAGTCAAAACACGATCTTCTAGCAGTGAATGCGCGTGTGGTCGCAACACTTTCGACTGCTATCGCAAATCCAATACAAATTCGTCCATGTCGTCCTCGCTGCAACTTTTGGGGCAAGTTGGGGGGAGGACGGGTGGAAGGATAAGGGAGGAGCTTGCATCGATCAACTTTCAGGGTTTATTCATATTGTTGTTCTCTGCGTACTTGAGCTGCTTGTCAGCAGTGGTGTTCGCTGGCATTTTGGCGTTCACAGGCGATCGGGTGCTCACTCTCACAGTGGTGTTCAGGCGTTGCTGGACTCGGGTAGTGTTGCTCCGGCTCCGAGGCCCAATCCAGCAGTCAAGACATGGCCTTCGAGCACTAAATGCGCGCGAGGTCGCAACAGTCTCGATTCTCATCGCAAATCAAATGCAAATGTATGCAGTTTGTCCTCGCTGCAGGAGGAGAGGTGGAAGGATGAGAGTGGAGCTTGCATCGATCAACTTTCAGGGTTTACTGATGTTGTTGCGCTTTGCGTGCCTGGTGTTCACTTGCACGGACTCAGAGTCACATTGGACTCAGGCCGTATTGATCCAGTTCAGACCGAACCCAATAGGTAAACGACTCGCTTGTAAGAAATGCGCGTGCGGTCGCAACAGTCTCGATTACCAGCGCAAATCCAATACAAATTCGTCCAGTGTGTCCTCGCTGCAACTTTTGGGCCAAGTAGGAGGGAGGGCCAAGTTGGAGAGAGGAGGGGTGGAAGGATGAACGAGGAGCTTGGCGATGTTGTGCCCACAAGCATCTGGGTGCTCACTGTCACTGTGGTGCTCAGGCGCTTCTGGGCCCAAGTAGCACTGATTGTATTTCGGTGCAAACAGCTCCACATCACAACGACACCGATGGAAGCACCCCCTCATGCCACAACAGCTCTTGGATGCATCGTAGCCACTACTTCGGCCAGGTCAAAAAGTGGCACAACTTTAATCACGCCCATGTGTAGATCTATGTGTATATGTAGATGTGTATAAATATGGCGTGCATGCACGTGCGCGCATATGACATGTATGCACATATCCGCGCGCATGTGCACGCGCACGCACGCCGCCCGCGTTCGAAACTCGAAGGACCAAGGTGCATGGCGCGAAGCGCCACTGCAGTCTTGAATATATATATATATATATATATATATATATATACAAATATATATACACATATATATATACATATATACATATGTATATATATGTATATATATGCATTATATGTATATCGCCTGCGCTAGTCCCCACATCCGGACCCCACTACTCTGCGGATTCAGCAGCTACGGGGGAGGGCGCGACAGGACGACGGAGGCGGTGGACGGGACTGGGGCAAGGGGCAGGGGCAGGAAAAGGGGGTAACCGAGCGAGAGCGGGGAGGGCGGAGAAGTGGACAGGTTGTTGGGGGCGAAAGGGGAGGGGTGCCGCGGACATGCGCTCCGGCGCACCAGACCGAAGCAAACCCCAAGTCACTGTAGAATGGGAGGTAATCGAACCTGGCCACTGGCATCTCCAGGTGCCCGTCGCAGCCCGCGAAGTACGCCGCCCACTCCTTGTGGTGATCCGTCATCCTGCCGCACGCCTGGATCGAGAGCGCAGTCACTGCGACCAAGTTGTCGGCGTCCGGAGGAGGGGGAGCGGGGCCCCCTGCCGGGCCCCGCAGCAAGCTGAGGGCGTCACCGCGGAGTTCGCCCAAGGCCCACCGGGCGGCCGGCTTCATGAGGAAAGCCTGCAGCCAGCAGGCCTCGCCTTCCTCAGGCTCCTCGTACGAATACTCGAAGGTGTCCTCTCGGAAGATGAGTATGGTGCCCGCGCTGGCCGCCACCTCCAGGCTTGGATCCAGGCCCAGTGTGGTGGGCGCGCCTGGTTTCACGGTCAGCTCCGCCATACCTCTGGCTGGCCCCAGGAAGTGAATGACTCGCAGCACGCTTCGGACCCACGTCGAGTAGAACTCGTAAATCACCTGGTCGGTGGCGATGGGATGCTCATAGTCGGCCTCGTCCATGTCGGACATCGACAGGCATGCCAGCGAAGGGGTGCGGTCCTCGATCGGGGCACCAGCACAGTCGCCGCAACGTGGTTGCAGCGCCTCCGCCAGTGCGGTGATGTTCGCGTCACTCCGGGCCAGGAGCCCGCCGGGATGCATCAGGTCCCCGTCTGGGTCGAGCCAGGTGGCCTTGGCGCGGCCGCTCCTTCCGAGGTAGCCCTCCTCCACCTCGCGCGCCAGCCGGCCGAGCTCGCCCCTCTGCTCGCAGTCCTTCAGCACCTGACGCTGCCCCGTGATTTTTGTGCCATAGCTCGGCCCTCCGGCGGCCCTTCGGGACGATCTGGGCACCCCAGAACGCTCCTGGCGAGGCGCAGCTGCTCGAGGGCATCCCGAAGCTGGAAAAAAACACCGAGAATCCACGAAAGCATCCAAAGCCCTCGAGCCTCAAACATCCCCCCCAACGCTGGCCCCGAGCCCATCCCCACCTCGAACGCCTCCGCCAGCTCCTCCGTCGCCTGGATCACTTTCAGCACACAGAACCCCTTCTGGCCCAGGCAGTCCGAGATGCCCTCGGCCATGGCCTCCCTGCTCGTGCGGGGCCCCAGCACCAGGTCGAAGCTTTCGGGGCCACCGCCGGCGCCGGGACCCCTGCACGGGCCCGCCGAGACGACGTGCGCGGGCTCCAGCTGGATGCGCTGGCCGCTGCTTATGAGCGCGACGCGCAGGCGGTCCACCTCGGGCAGGTAGTTCACCAGTTGCCCCAGCTCCCCCTCGAGGGCGGCGTCGCCGCCAGCGCCCGCGCCGCGGATCTCCACGATCTGGCCGATCCGCAGGCCATTGACCACCGGGGACCTTAGCCGCCCCAATACGCAACACGCACCCCGTAGCGTTTTGACACGGAGCTCATGACGTAGATTGAAAACGTAGGTCTGGCGCGATACGCTCGCCCAAACGTGGACCAACACGTGCCGAGCCAACACGCAGCGTGCTGACATAGGGGTCCACATGTGAACCCAACCCCTACCGCCCACGATTTCTGAGGGGGAGGGTGGGGTTCACTGCGCTCGGGAGCTCCCGAACGAAGTGAACCCCACCTTCTCCCTCAGAAATCGTGGGCGGTAGTCATGTGACCCCCTATGACACGGACGCTTTGTGCAGGGCGCGTGTGGCGTGTCCGCACGGGCGCATCGAGGCAGCTAAGCTGGGAACCACTCCGAGGCCTCCGCAGCGACGGCCTGCATGGCCGCGCGGACTCCCGCCGGCCGCGCGGGCCGCCGCCCGCGCAGCCCGGCGCCGCTGCCATCGCGGGCCGCGGGATGGCGGAGGCCAAAGGCCGCTCCTCGCCGCTCGGGCCCACGGCGAGGCTCGCGGCGTGGCCCTGGCAGCTCCCACTTCCTCCTCATCCTCGTCCTCCTCCTCGTCCTCCTCCGCTTCCTCCTCCTCCTCCTCCTGCTCCTCCTCCTGCTCCTCCTCGATCTCGCCGCCCCCTCCTCCATTCCTTATAAATAACGCCCTCACCAGTTACGGCCGTGAAGCCAAAAAGTTGGCAACAGCTTCACAGATGGAGGGCGGGTCGCTTCAAAAATGTGGCTCTCGCCTTAGAGTCGCGCGCATCCGCTGTAAAAAATCTGCTAGGGCTCCACGGATTGAAAAATGTCGTTTTCAACATGCGGCTCTCGCCGTAGCGCCGCGCTCATTCAAATTAAGAAAATTGCTAGAGCGTCACGGATTGAGGTCGGCTCCTTCTCAAAATGTAGCTCTCGCCTTAGCGCCGCGCACATTTGGTTACAAAATGCGAAAACGTTTCACTGGTTGAGGGCGGGTCGCTTTCAAAATGTAGCTCCCGCCTCAGCGCCGCGAGCATTCGCTTTAAAAGTTGCAAGGGTTTCACGGACTGAGGGGGGCTGATTTTCAAAATCTAGATCTCGCATTAGCGTAGGGTGCATTCGCTTTCAAAATCTGCACGGGTTTCACTGATTCCTACGTATGGCCCACGTACCAGGAATGGTGTCATGGAAAGACTCAGGATTGCGAGGGTGCAACAGTTACGTTGATTCGCGGTGTTGTAGTCCCAGGAATGGTGTTGTGGCACGATCAGGATCGTCAAATACCTGGTGCGCCATAGAGGACATTTCGAGAAAACTCCACTGTGCGCACCTGCCTTGGCGTTGGAGTCCCGAGAATGGTGTTGTGGCACGCTGCAGAGTCTTCAAGGGGGTGTTTCCCAACGAAGCAATTTCCTCATGAACCTTGTAGGAGCCTGCGAAGAGGGAGCCTGGAGGGAGGGTTTGTTACGACATCGTTGATGAGTCTTGGGTTTACATTGGTCCTCCTCCTCATCCTCCTTATCCCCCTCCTCCTCATCATCCTCATCCTCGTCCTCCTCCTCCTCCTCCCTCCTCCTCCTGTCCTCTTCCCCCTCCTCCAGTCACACGCGGGACCGGTCGAAAGGGCGGGCCAGGAGTTACGCATGAGAATTCCTCACCACTTCTGATCCTGAAGCTTAGACACTGGCAACAATTTCACGGATTCAGGGCGGGTGATTCTCAGAATGTGGCTGTCGCCTTAGCGCCCGCCCATTCGATTGCAAGAACCTCCTTGAGGGCGGGTCGTTTTCATAATGTGGCTCTCGCCTTAGTGCCGCGCACATTCGTGTAAAAATGTGCGAGAGTTTCACGGGTTGAGGGCGGGTAACTTCCAAATGTGGCTCTCGCCTTCGCGCCGCACACAGTCGTTTTGAAAATTTGCCAGAGTTCCACGGATTCCTTTGGTCAACGTGCCAGAAGGACTGCCTTGGAAGGATTCAGGATAGTGAGGGCGCAACAGGTATGTTGATTCGCGGCGTTGAAGTCCCAGGAATGCTGTTGTGGCACGATTCAGGATCGGCCGTACGCAAAAGTCATGTTAATTCGTGGCGCTGGTTTCCCGGGACTCGTGTTTGGACACGCTTAACGGAAGTCGAACCGCTGTCTACCAGCGAGGCGGTTCCCTCAGTGGGAATGAAGCCTTGTAGGGGCCTAAGAAGAAGCTCGAGGGTAGATTCCGCATCCTTGATGGTTCTTGGACTTGAACTGGTCCTCCTCCTCCTCCTCCTCCTCCTCCTCCTCCTCCTCCTCCTCCTCATCCTCCTCCTCGTCCTACTCCTCCTCTTCCTCCTCCTCCTCTTCCTCCTCCTCTTCCTCCTCCTCATCCTCCTCTTCCTCCTCCTCCTCCTCCTCCTCCTCCTCCTCTTCCTCGTCCTCTTCCTACTGCTCTTCCTCCTCCTCGTCCCCCTCATCCTCCTCATCCGCTTCCTCCTCTTCCTGATCATCATCATCATCATCATCAGCACCATCAGCATCACCACCACCATCAGCAGCAGCACCACCACCAACAACAACATCACCATCTTCATGACCATCATCATCATGAGCATTAGCAGCATCATCACCATCAGCATCATCATCAGCAGCATCATCATCACCATTATCATTAGCATCAGCATCATCATCATCATCACCAGCAGCAGCAGCATCATCATGATCAGCAGAAGCATCATCCTCATCATCCTCAGCAGCAGCAGAAGCAGCCTCATCAGCATCATACACTCCGCTCGCTAAAAATAGTATCGGTGAAACTAAGTCTCGGCTAAACTAGATCGGAAGCTTCGGTCCCCGACCTCTGTAATTCCGAGAACTAGATTGGCCCGCTTGTATTTGCATCGCCCATACATTAACATACTCTCCGTTCTCCTTTCCATTCGGGCGTTCCCACATGCGCGTGCACCTCGCAATGTGGCGGTCGGCTCGGCTGCGCTGATGGATCCGACCAGGCTCCATATACACGGGGTCATTCAAGGGTCGGTGAGCAAGGTCAATCCTGCACGTCACTCCGGGCTCCAGGACTACCCACGGTCAGTCTGGAATGACCCAGACAGGCCCCAGACTGACCCCGGACAGACCCCGGACAGACCTCAGGTGACTTCGGATCCGACCCCCCCCCGACTGGCCCCGGACTGACCCGGGCTCCCGACGCACCCCCGACGGACCACGGACTGACCCCCGCCCAGACGGACCCCGCACGGAGCCCAGACTGGTCCCGGACTGACCCCCGACTGACCCGGGACTGTCCCCGGACTGTCCCCGGACTGACCTCGGACTGACCTCGGACTAACCCCGGACTGACCCCGGACTGATCCCAGACTGACCCCAGACTGGCCCCAGACTGACCCCGGACTGACCCCGGACTGACCCCAGACTGACCCCGGACTGACCCCGGACTGACCCCAGACTGACACCGGACTGACCCCGGACTGACCCCGGACTGGCCCCGGACTGGCCCCAGACTGGCCCCGGACTGACCCCGGACTGACCCCGGACGCCCGTTGGGGCCTCCTGGGGCCTCCTGGGCGCTCTTGGGCGCTATTGGAACCGTTGTGGAGCTTTCTTAAGCCCCGACTCTCGCTGCCCTCCCTGTTGGGCCATCTTCATCTTGGAGCCTCGAATGGTCATCGGAAGCGAAAAAGCGAGAAAGCCACTTAGCCTGGCGAAGGACACCACCAGACGCAGATGTGACAGCCGCAATTGTGAATACCATCTTCACCCGCGCTCCCTATATAACCACGGCTTCCTGCTGGGGCCCGACATGCTCAGGGACACGTTCGCGGTCTTCTTCGCGGGCGCCGATGACGACGAGGACAGCGTGTCCCCCTGACAGAGGACCAGACGCAGGAGAGGGCTCTGAGAGCCACGAGTGAGGCTGCCACTGGCGCCTTCGGTGGAGCTCCAATGAGGCCACGATCCTCGTGAGGGGTGTGCCGGAAAATGCCCCGATGGCCGCCCTGCGAACCCTGCCACGGGGGCCGTCGGGGGAGCTCTCTATGGGGCCACGATCCTAGCGAGGGGCGTGCCAAAATCGACCCGAGGCCGCGGTGCGCAGACACGAGGCGGCACTGACATGCAGAACCTGCCCCTGCGGCTTTCGGCGGTGCCGCCTCAGACCACAAAACGCACGAGGGGTGCACCGAAATGGGTGGTGAAACAGCAAGCCAACGCAGCCACTGGAGCTCTCGGTGATGCTCCCTGTGGGGCCACGAAACGTATGAAGAATGAGCCGAAACGGGCGGGGAACCGCATGCGAACGCAGCCACGCGGCGCCTTCATTTCAATTCAATTCATACGCAGCGACAGCGTCGGGCCGGCCGCGCGCGCTGGGCGCGCGCCCGGGCCCTCAGCCCCCGCAGCGCAACCGACCCACCTCTCCGCGAGGGGGGGAGGGAGTGGCAGGCGCGCCCGCGCGGGCCACCTCCCGTTTGGTAGAGGTCTTCCACTCCCCTCGTGAAAGCGGCCCGAAGGCATCATCGTCATGGCGATTCATGGCAAGCAGAATTCGCGTCCTCTGGGCAAGTCATGGCAAGTCGTGGCAAACAAGGTCGTCATCATCTTCGTCGACGCCATCTCCCCGCACACTAAACCGCACGGCGCCGTGGCTGACAGCGGGCACGGCGAGACAGGCAAGCAGCTGAACAAGTAGCCGGTCATCTGGGCAAGCCATTGCTATCACTGCTGGCCCCCAAGCCCTCTCGCTTCACACCTTGCCGCCAGACGCAGTGGCGGACGGCGGGCACCGCACCGCACGTGCAAAAGGGGGAACACACGGGGACGAAGCGTCCGAGCCCCCCCACGACCACGAGAGCATCGGGGGCCGCATCACCACTGGGAGGCAAGCCGGTGGCGCGCAAGAGGGAACCGCATCACCACAGTGCGGCAGGACAGCGGCACACAACGACACCTGACGACGCGGCTCCCCGAGACGGCAGCGGCACGACACAGCAACATGGCACGAGCAGGCTGCACCGCCCCGCAACGGTGAAGCACGGTTATCTACGGAGGGCCCAGGGCGGGACACATGCGTTCACCGGCATCGCGCGTGGAACCCCCAAGTTCGGGGGGAGGGGGGGGGACAGGGAGCCCGGACGGAGTTCCCTACCAGGGCACTGCAGGCTCTGGTCGACAGCTCGCGTCCCCCCACCCCGCCTGCAGGAAAAACAATGCAGCCCCACGCGACAGTGTCAAACATAGTGCGCGCATGAAGACATAGGGCCCGCTGCCTCTCAATCAGTCGCTGGAGAGACCATGGCTTCTGCAACACGCGCACACACAGAACCGCATCTCCACCGTGAGCTAGGGTTTTGCACGAAACACAAGCCGAGAGACGGGGCCACATCACCACTGTGAGGCAGGAGCTTTGCACGCATCACGAGCGAAAAAGGCCGCATCACTACTGCGAGGCACAATTGCACACGCCAGCAAACCCGCGGCCTTATGCACGCGAGGGGCTGTGTCGCCACTGCGCGGCAGGTGACCGCAGCACCACTGGGCACGACGA